GTATAGTAAAAGTAGAACTTCTTCACTAGTTATTATATTTACTAGAAGCCCGGTGCACAAAAATTTGTGCACTGGCAGGGGGGAGGGGCAGGTCTCTCAGCCCAACCTGTGCCCTCTCACAGTCTGGGACCCCTTGGGAGATAACCACCTGCTGGCTTAGGCCTGCTCCCCTGGTGGCAGATGGCAAGCCCAATCCCTCGGTGCCTGCCCCGTCTCCCCCAGTCACACACGGCAGGCCCAGATCCCGCGCTGGGGCAGGTGGCAGCTGGGGATCTCACTGCTGCCCACACCCCTCCCCACCCCAGGCCACACACAGCAATTCAATTAAGCCCAAAAATCACGCTGCCACCCTCGGAGGGTGGTGCAGTGGGATCTGCCTGCACTATGCAAATTTAATGGCCATCTTTGTTGGGTTAATTTGCATACTCTTCTGATTGGCTGATGAGTGTAGTGAAGGTATGGTCAATTAGCATCTTTGTATTTTATTAGTGTAGATTTGTTTCCTCATTCATAAAGCATGTTCTAAAGTCCTGCTTTGCTCAGACCTGAGACACAAAGATGAAATAAGCAACATCCTTACTCTCCAGGAGCTAACAAGTGAGGAAGACACACACAGGGCAAAGCAACTAATACTAAGCGTGGTGCAAGAGAAAATGGGCTTCTGTATGAACTACTGAGAACAGCTACTCTGTCCTGGGAGATATGAGAAAGTTACTGAGAGAAGGATTTTTAACTAGACTTTGATTAATGAGGAGTATCACAAGCTCAGTGGAGGACAAAGAGGAGGGCATTAGAGATCAAAGAAAAGTCACGTGTGAAGGCTCAAAGGCATAAAATACATAATGTTTTTAAAGAATAAGAAGTCATGAGAAGTGGCTAAAGCATAGGTGGGGTGTGTGAATGTGTTGCACAGCGTAGGGTTAGGAAAGGGATAGAGAAATAGTAGTAAAAGTCAAAAGCTAGTACAGGGTCTCTAAGCTAAATAATGGGGTTTAGACTATTTCACAAAGAAGAGCTGTTGGGAGGTTTTCCATCAGGGAAGAGAGACCAAATGAGTCTGAGAAAGATTTTTCTTGAGCATTGTGGAGGACATTCTGGAACTCCCTGGGGATATTGAGCTTATCATCAGAGAACAGAAGTCATGTAGTAATGTGCTTGGTTCCACTCAAAAGAGTAAGAAATCTTTAATAATATCTTCAGTTTGATATAAGCCACTGTAATCCATCAGAGATATGTGGAGAGCCTAAATTAAGATTTATGTGATGTTGCCCTGCTGGCATGGCTCAGTGGTTGAGCATAGACCTATGAACCAGAAGGTCACAGTTTGATTCCTAGTCAGGGCACATGCCTGGGTTTTAAGCTTGATCCCCAGTGTGGGACATGCAGGAAGCACCCAATCAATGGTTCTCTCTCATCATTGATGTTTCTACTTCTCTCTCTCTCCCTTCCTCTCTGAAATCAATAAAAGATGTTAAGATAAAAAAAAAATATTTAAGCGATGCTTCTGAAGTGGAATAAATAGGATGTGTAGTACCCAATAACCTTGTGAGGGTGCAGGCAGTGTAGGAGAAGAGAATGATTGAACAGTTGCCTTAGGAGACTAGGTGGCTTGAATAACTAAGCATTATCGATGGTTTCTGTAACTCTGTATAAAGCATAGAGCACTGTACCTTGTTCAGTGAGGCTTCCAAAATGCTCTTGACTGGCCATCAACCCCCTGCCTACCCTCAGAGAAGCAATCCTAATTAAAATCTTAAACGGGAAAATCACCACAAGTAAATTCAGTTAAGTATAGTTCAAATTAAGATTCTGCATCCAGTTTCTGTCTCCATCCAAGTTTGATATAGCAATCAGATACGTTTCAAAGACTTCAACATTTTATAGTAACATTTCCCAAGAGCAATTTAATATTCCTTATGCCATATATATTAAAATTATTTCAAGTTCTTCCCTAAAGAAAAACAGAATCAAATTTGCTTTACAAAGTCAAGGAAAGACCTGAATGGGCAATTGAAATTAAGCCAGAAGTCAAACTGTACAGAACAGTGCACTTTAGCATATGTGCAAAAGTAGTGGTTATGGCATCACTTGCATCTATTTAGCAAAACTTACAGATCATGTATTAGAGATAGAAGTAATCTTAGTTATCACTCGCTGTATATCCTCTATTTTAATACATGTAAACAATGTGATGATTTTACATAGTATTACTGCTTTGATGAGAAACAAAAAGCTGTAATCAAATCAATGTAGTAACTTATAATTGATATTTATAATAAAAGATATATGGTCATTTAATTCTTTCAAGTAAATAAAATTCCTCTAAAGCACATCCACAGAGACACATTGAAAACCAGAATGCCCATATTATAATCTAGCACATTTCAACTCCATCATAAGATGGAAGAGCCCTCTCATTTTTGAAACCTGCAATCTATGGTAGGAAAGTAATAGGACATATACAATTGTCCCTAACTTGTGCAATGCTCATGTATGAAGCTCATGTATATTGGAACCATGTCCTTGCTTTTCACATTTCCATGGTAACTGAGTACTGAGAGACAGAGAGGGAGAACTTTATTGTCTCCTCCCCTCTCTTGCATCTCAAATGGTCCCCCTCAGCAGTTGACCCTTTGCATCAGCCTACAGCATCCAAGATCTTGTCTGGACAACTTCCATGCCTATCATCAGCTCCCCAAACCCTTCTCTGGTTATGCTACACCCATCTGGATAATTTCTCTGTTGACAAACATAAGGAAAGGACATATTACTTCTTATTTATCATCCTCTTATTTTAAAAAACCTTTAGAAATTAAAACAATGACATGTAGAAAATGATATCTCTAATATATGTAAAGTATAAGAAATAACAATTTGACTTAATAAATTGAACACTTCCTATATATTTGAAACCATCTACTACTTTGGTAATCTTTTTGGTTGTTTCTTCATTTTATAATATACTAAAAGCCTTGCAAAGTGGAAGTACCTTGGGAGTTCCCAGTTCTGAGAGGCTGTGCTTCAAGGTGCTATTATATACATCTAAGGGTAAATAAATATCATGATGAAAATGGCATTTTTCCTATAAAGTGATAAAAGTTAGAGGTATGTGCCCTATTTCACTATTAAGAGATAAAGAGATAAACACTTCATCACTGTAAATGAGAATAAAACTTGCATTTTAAAGTCTTTCAAGGGAATCAGCTCTATTTCCTCCTGTCTCCACTCCCTCAGTAACACATTGAGTGTATGTGCACTCACAAGGAAGGGGCATTTCTGTGAAATTAATCAAATACAGAATTCAATGTTCCTTGCAGATAGATAATTTTGGGATGTTCCATTGGGAACTTTCTAGTCTGAATTTTCATATTTCTTGGGGAAAGACTCACATGTTCCAAATCCTCAGTGTTTCCTCTATTAGTGAAGAACACTGTAGCAAAACTACTATATACAGAATCAATATATATGCAGCAAGACACTCTGCGGGAAAAGTCATCATTAAAATGAAAGAAGGCAAAATGTGTGGGAATACAATCCAAATGTGGCAAATAAAAACTAGCATATAGAACGCTGTAAAAAGTATTATACTAATTAATTGACTTTCTGATTTAGCTAAAATTAAAAAAAAATCTGAGATGGAAATTTTAAAAATATTCATAGCTCTTAATATATTACAGTAAATTCAGAAATGACAAATCTCACTTAAGAATAAAATCGGTGCTATTGCTTTTGATGACGATGGAAAGCACATGTTCAATGCCTAATTAACTCTTTTGACATCTTTATGTTTTGTTCTTTAATATTTTCCTAAATTTATAAAATAACTCGAATCCTTATTCTGGCTTTGGCTTTATATTTCATATCAGTGTTTCATCCTGTAAGATGCTGCTGCTGCTATTTGTTCTATATACGTTAGTTTAGCCCCAAAGCCTAAAGAAGGCTATAGTTCTATCATTGATGCTTTTATCTGCACTTCTGCATCTGGGCAATTGCTCAACTCCAGTCACAAAGACCTGGCGCTTAGACTGCATCCTCCCAGCTGAGGAGTTTTATTTGGTCATCTTGGTATTGGGGTGGGATATTTAAATGAGATGTCCAGGAAGCAAGTCATAAACAGGCTAAAGCTATAGATTTCGGAGTCAATGGAATATTTGAAGCCACAAGTAGGTAGCATGTCCCAAAGGAGAGTATATGGTACAGGAAGAGATCTTAGGACTAATGTGTCTAAATCATTAGGTACCCAACAAAGATTTAAGAACTAAAAGAATGGCCTAGAAAATGTACTGTACTTGATGAATAACTTCTATTGCAGTTAGAGTAAAAGATTTGAATTCTTATTTCCACGGAATTCCGCCTCCAGACCTCTCCAGCAAAATAGTGATGACAGCTAGTGAAAGCCCTATCAACACTTCATATTTATATCCCTGAGGTGGAACCATCCTATTTCAACACATAGCACATTCTCATTGAATTCCACATTTAGTGAATGATGAATGCAAGACGTTTTCCACAATCTGGCTGCCCGCTTCATGCATTTTGTTAGCAAAGCACACAAAACTGGCAGGATCAGAGAGTAGCCTTTCCCAAATCCCTCCCAGTTTCAGCATGGCTACAGCATATGTTCCTAAACTGGTGAATTTTCTCTTAAGAAAATACAAATTCAGCCCTAGCTGGCTTGATTCAGTGGATAGAGCGTCAGCCTGCAGACTGAAGGGTCCCAGGTTCTATTCCAGCCAAGGGCACATGCCTGGGTTGCGGGCTCAATCTCCAGTAGGGGGCGTGCAGGAGGCAGCTGATCAATGATTCTCTCTTATCATTGATGTTTCTATCTCTCTCTCCCTCTCCCTTCCTCTCTGAAATCAACAAAAAAATGTATATATTTTTAAAAAGAAAATACAAATTCATCTCAGTGCTTGACTCACATTGTATTGAGAGGCTTTATAATCTCTCTCATCAACAAAACTTGCTTTTATATACGTGGATCATTTTCTTATTCACAGGATTGAAGCAAAATGACAGCTTCTCAATTTGACTGTCAATACTGCTCAGCATCACTTCTTGGGAAGAAATTTATGCTAAAGGATGGCAATCCATACTGCATCAAATGTTATGATCGCGTCTTTTGTAACTATTGTGAGGAGTGCAAAGAAGCAATTGAATCAGGTTCCAAGGTAGGTCTTCTGTCAGTTCACAGAATTATTGCATATGAGCAGACAAATGCTTTGGAAAGCCTCTTTTCCTTTAGTTAAACATTAATACTCTATAGCTCTGCTACTGGGTATAAGGATCTTCAGAGTTACCATCAACCAAATTCTAGGCACTATGCTTAGCACTATTAAATATAATATATACTTTAATCTTTGCAATGATTTTAGGAGATCGTTTAGGATGCTAAATATTAAATAGGCTATTTGTCCAAAGTTACACCAATAAAATGTTGAGTTATTTCTGGAATCACAAGAGTATAAATGAATAAATACATAGATAATAGGATGTGTAAAGATTAAAGAATCTATTTTCTGGCTTCAAATCAGCTTCATTTCCACACCCATTGTGCCCTGATGCCTTTCACACATATAACTCATTCCTCCTACAAAGCAAATTATTGCATTTTTTTCATTTTCATTTACTTTGCCTTTGTTTTAGCTAGGTGGTGTTGAGATTTTGTTTAGTTAAATCTCAAATAATAATCTATAATAATAAAAGCATAATATGCTAATTAGACCGGATGTCCTTCCACTCATCCTTCCAGATGAAGCCGGGGCTGCAAGGGAAGCCTGGGTCCCGGGTGCCAGAGGGAAGCTGGTGCCAGCAGCCATGGGAAGGAAGGCCTACTCTTGCATGAATTTCATGCATCGGGCCTCTAGTAAGATATAACACCCTAAAGGTAAAGATTGGCTCTAGCCAGTGTAGCTCAATTGGTTGGGCATCGTCTATGCACTGAGAGGTTGCCGGTTTGATTCTGGGTCAGGGCACCTGCCCAAGTTTTGGGCTTGATCTCTGATAAGGGGTGTGCAGGAGGCAGTGATCAACGTTTCACTCTCATATCTATGTTTCTCTCTCTTTTTCTCCCTTCTTGTCTCTCTAAAAAACAATAAAAATATTTAAAAATAAAATAAAAGATTATTCCACGACAAGCCTCTCTTGTTTATAAAAGGAAGGTAGAGGAAATTTGAAGAAATAGGAGAGGGTCCACTTATTTTCCATCTGTCTTCAGTAATCAACCAACAAAGCCCCAGGCTCTAGCTCTTAATTGCCCCAGTCTCCTCTCAATGGGTAACAGTATCAAGAACAACTTTCCCTCAAGCTACCAACACAATCTACTGGCACCAGAGTCCCAGGAGTGTTTAGTTTTGTCTTATAAAATGGCTGGTTTTGTTGAAACACATTTAATTAACTTTTATTCACCGTCTCCAAGGATCTTTGTTACAAAGGCCGGCACTGGCATGAAAGATGCTTCAACTGTGCCAAATGCAATCACTCTTTGGTGGAAAAGCCTTTTGCTGCCAAGGATGAGCGCCTGCTCTGCTCGGAGTGCTATTCCAATGAGTGCTCCTCCAAGTGCTTCCACTGCAAGAAGACCATCATGCCTGGTAAGATCAACAGGGAGTTCTGGTCACTAACGGAAGTAACCGTGCTTTCAATTAAACCCAAGCACAGAAGAGAATACTAGCTAACAACAAAAACCTGCTTCTGAGAAAAATACCTTTCTTGCTATCCCTTGATCTCATTTAGTGTACTGTAGAAATAAATCATTATTATTTCTGTCTTGAATGGGTAAATTAAACCTAGGTCATAGAAACATTTTGAATGAGAATGTGAGCCATAGAGTAAAGATAAAATCTATACCAATAATGCTAACATAGCATTACATACCCTGTCCTAGATATAACCAATGGCAGTTTTGTTCTCTCTTAGGGAAAACAAGGATCCATGTAATCAATAGATTACGTGGATCCCTTACACGTTTAGGCAAGCACTAATTCTCTATGATTTTGACCCTCTTCTCAATCCGTATAGACAGCAGCATAAGAACATGACTCTTATTTTCTTATTATGGATTCAAATATTTTCTAGTTGATCATAACTGCACAACATTAATCTTATGAGTTTGTGCCCTTGGCATTCCTAAAAGTCCTGTAAGGATGATTATGGCCCAATTTATCTAAACTACATGCAGCCTTTCAGAGTCTCTATTTATAACACTTTCACATTTCAAAATTGTAGCTTCCAAAGCACAAGAGTTTTCAGCGAAAGAGTGACTAACCGTCATCATGTCTGAACTCTATTTACTTTTTATTCCCCAGATAAATATTTTGGAAGCCAACAAAACATTATTTTTATAAGGATAATTAATTTATCACTTTAAAATACATATTTTAAATAATTTGACATATCTTTGCTTAAAAGACTATAAAGTTATGCTTGATTTGTACTAACAGGTTATTAATTTGGGGGTACAGGTTCCCGCAAAATGGAATTTAAGGGAAACTACTGGCATGAAACCTGTTTTGTGTGTGAACATTGCCGACAGCCAATAGGAACTAAACCTTTGATTTCCAAAGAGAGTGGCAATTACTGTGTGCGGTGTTTTCAGAAGGAGTTTGCTCACTACTGCAACTTTTGTAAGAAGGTAATTATCTAAAGAGGATAAAGTTTGGGTAATCTTCCAGACCACTGCCTTTTAGCTGTACTATATAGTGGAAGTGAACTGATACTACCAGGTTACATTTGTCTTTAGTGTGAATTCCAACATGTCCAAAGCACTACCTGTCGCATTGAGGATGGTCATCTGTTTTTCTCACCATAAAATTCCACCCAGAACATTAATTTAATATTCCAACATCTCAAGTGACTTGAAATTCCACTTCCATTCACTGCTTTCCTCTAATTTCATGTATTCTAGTAGAGAACACACACCTCCCTTTGAACAAAATATTGCAAAGAAAATAATTTTTGATCTATTTCATTGCAGAGAAATATGGGTTTGTCTCACAGAGTGATGAAGTGAACCAATTTAAACAAGATGTTTAACTCCTCACATTATGTCTCAGCAATACAAATGCCTTCTGGCTTGAAGCTTTTATGTTTCTAAAGAGTAGATAGGGAGGCTCAAGGGAGATCATTAGGGAAATTCATTAAATAAAAAGACAGAAGACTAAGACCTTTGTGTGGCTGCCTTCACTTCCTTTAACTTTGATATTCATTCCAAACATATTTTCCAAAAGAAAAAAAAAGGTCATTTTTTTTTCGAGTAGACTTTGCCCAATTCTTTTTTTTATCCTCTAAGCTTCTTTTGTGAAAAAGTCGCTCATCTCTGTCACCTTTACAAAACCTGTCTGTAGTCTATAAAATATATATTGATGTTCTTGAAGAAATCCTTGACCCTGAGGCATCATAAGTTTAAAATAGCACTATAAATTGTGATGAGAAAGCTGAATCATGAAACTACATTGGATTACTACAGTGATTTCTCAACACTTTTGATATATGGGCTACTTTGGCAGATATCTTAAGACCTTTTGTATTATTGCATCTGGAAAGCTAGAAGTCTCATTACTACTTTCTACAAATGCATAAATAAACATACATGCATACAAACACACACAGTAATTTTCTAGGTATATTTAAAATACTACTACTGCATTTGAGGTGGCATCAATAAACCCCTAAGTTATAATTCTTAAATTACACTATAATGATGTCTGAAACTTACAAAAGATAGAACATGACATCTTATATCCGGAGACTTCCATTACGCTACCAGAGACACTGACTTGGAAAATGACTTCAAAAGCAATAGTCAGACCCTATGACCCTGTGACATGTGAAGCTCCAAAAAATTGTCAGAGTCAATGACACATTTAGAAACAGATACCCGAAATAAAAATGAATAGATTTATCTCACTATTTTGAGGGGCAGTGAAGTTGACCATTTTTTGACTGTTTCTTAAAGATTTACTCTAAAATAGTAATAAGACTTATGGGAATTATCTTAATGTCATTGATTGGGCACACAGTATAAAGTTCATTAGAATACTGTGAAGATTCAAGAAAGGAACTTCTCTAGTACATCAGCTGCTAAGCGCTGTCTGGGGCCAAACCTCTGGCATTTCCCAGGTTATAGGAACCTGTCCTATATTTAGGACATGGTTTGAAGTCACTAAAAATTTTAAAATGTTTATATTGGATAGTAGACAGATCATGACAAGCCAGATTATTTTCTATTTAATTTTTTAAGCCATAAATCCTTTAAAGAAAGCCAGATATAAACGTTTCTCATTAAAATGATCCAATCTGAAGAAAAACAATTCGTTTCAATCTAACCAAAGAACAAATATTTTTTAAAAATTAGGCAAAAACTACTTGTCAATCAGGCTCTTAGAAGTTTTTTCATAATAAAATAAAATAAAATAAATTTTTTTTTGTGAAACTAAATTTTATTTTCTACCCAACAGCAAGTAACCTCAAACTACAAGTGCTTTGAATTCAAACTTCTCAAGGTTCAAATAGACTATTCGGCAATTTATCAGCTGTCATCTACTGAATGTAAAATCATTATTGCCTCCACTTTGTCAGAGAAGAAACTTGATCTAAATCCTGGCATCAATCAGTGGCAAAAACTAAGCTTAGATATTAGACTTCATTTTAGCCCACCTGCCTCTTCAAAAGGAACATGATCACAAGCAATCTGCTTTAATGCCCCCAGAGTGTCTTCTCCCTAATTAAACAGTCTTTGCTGTACATTTCAAGTTTTACTTTGCTGTGAACACATTTTTTCAAGTTTGAATCTTTTAAGCATTGCCTGCTAATCATTTGACCAAACAAATCAAAGGGATCTTGAATTCTGCTGTGCCTGCTCTAAGGCATTTAAAGTCAGTAGGGAGTATTTTAAATTGCTTGTGTTCACACACACCATCGTGTTTCCCATTTACTTATTTAGAATAGTGTACTTTTTTCCCTTTAGGAAAAATAACTTTTCTTCATAATACCTTTAATTTTTAAGGTATTTTTGTTATATTTTAAAATATCTTTAGAATAATCATTTTAAAACCCTCTATCACAGGCAAATAACATTTTAATGGCTTATCTACTTCATTGAAATACAAAGGTTACAAGAACCATCTCAGCTACAACATTGCTTCAGTCATTATAAGACAGCGGTTCTCAACCTGTGGGTCGCAACCCCTTTGGGGGTCGAACAACCCTTTCACAGGGGTCGCCTAAGACCATCGGAAAACACATATATAATTACATATTGTTTTTGTGATTAATCATTATGCCTTAATTATGTTCAATTTGTAACAATGAAATTGGGGGTCACCACATGAGGAACTGTATTCAAGGGTTGCGGCATTAGGAAGGTTGAGAACCACTGTCTTATAATGAACCACTTATAATATAAAACATTTACATGAACACATTCCAAGTTCCACAGCTACTGCAGGTCAATAGCCATGATTCTGAAAGGTGCTATGACTTAAAAATTGTTACACAAGTTTTTACCTATATTATCCCAAAGAAAGATGTCTCTGCCTTTTAAAAAGTAGAACCAAGGATTCAACTGGTATAGAAAAAAAAAAGTATATTATGGAGGAACGATAACCATCTCTGACAAAATTCTAGCACATCACACATCAATGTACAACCAGTGCCCTTAGAGCCTTAACGCTGAAAACTTACACTGTTGCCCACAGTATACCATTTGTGCTAGATAAAATATTGGAATTGCTTTCCAAACACTTTTTCCATTGGAGTTTATTCACTCATTCAACAAGGACTTATCAACTGTTTACCACTGCAAAGTTATCTTGCCTCAGTATTGTATTAATGTTTAAGCACATGGGCTCTGGGATCAGACTGTGCAGGCTTGAATGCTAGCTCTGTGTGTCCCTGGCAAGGAACAACCACTCTAACCCCAAGTACTTGCTCATCTCATAAAGGGGAAAGATAATAGTCCCTACTGTGTAGGTATGTTGAGAATAGTAAGAAGAGGCCATCCCTTAGCACAGGGCTGAAGACCGAAAAAACACTTAGGTTTAGCTCATTCCTAACAGATGATGGTGCTTATCCATTCCATTCAGGGCTGTTACTGCTGGATATTCTTGAGCCTGGAGGAAAGCCTTCAGGAAAAAAGCTTGTTATTCAGCATCCTTAAAAGGTAAACATGGAAATAAGAACAGAGCATAGAAAATATTTTAGATCTAATGGCAGATCTTTGAAGCCCAACAAGAAAGTCATAGAAAGATAAGAAATGAAATCAATAGCTGACTTCTTTTTCTTTTTTCTGGATCCATTATATCCCTGTTTCCTTTCTGTTTCTGTAGAAAAATTAGGATATGTATCACCAGTTCATATCCCTATAGCCTTTTGCTTCTCATATCCATTCCCCAAAAAATCTTAGAAAAAGGACAGCCTGACACAAGATGATCAAGTAGCCCAACGAATCACCTGTGGACATAGACGAGCATCACAAAAGGTCTGAATTCTTACAGCTCCCACGGTCATTACCTTTTTTTGTGATCCTTTGGCAGGTGATAACTTCAGGTTGGATAACATTTCATGACCAGCCATGGCATAAAGAGTGTTTTCTGTGTAGCGGCTGCAGGAAAGAGCTCTGTGATGAAGAGTTTATGTCCAGAGATGATTATCCATTCTGCTTGGACTGCTACAACCATCTTTATGCCAAAAAGTGTGTAGCCTGCGCCAAACCCATTACTGGTGAGTTCTTTAGTTGAATACAGTCCTTACATGAGACAGTTATGGCTACATAAATGCTATATAGTTCACTCTGAAAATAAAAAAAAAAAAGGTAATCTTTCCCTTATGTTTCTTTTTCTAGATAAATACAAAATACATAAGCAGCACTATTATACAGACCCTTCTAGGCAAATATAGATTATAATCAGGGTAACTATACTCTAGAGGCCTGTGAAATTATTTGGTATCAGGCCAATGAAATCATTTAGTTTGGCCCTGTCAAGGCATTAGGGGTGAGTTAATTAAATGTTTGCCCAAATAGAGCAGGCTAATTTTTAAGTTGATAATTTTATATGGCCCTTGAATGATGTTATAAATATCCAAATGGCTCTTGGCAGAAAAAGGGTTCCCCACCCTTGCTATAGAGGATTATTAATTCTAAATGTAATGGTACTAACTCTCAATAAAGGAATAGTTCAGAGGAAGAGGAGAACAGGATGAACTGAGACATAGAGACCTTCATGAGGAGGCCTGGTCTGAGCCGGACCTTTAAGGATTCGAGTGGAAGGAAGGGATATTTGAAAATAAAAATCCTGCTTAATTCCAAACAAGGATGAAAGGGCCTTAAAAATGGAAAATGTTTTAATTAAATGTAAGTATTGTACTGAAATCCAAAGCTGTACTAATTAGGGTAGCATAGGTTACGAATTAATTAAACTTCGTTTTAAGATGTTTCTAACAAATGTATTATTCTATTTTTTCCTCTTTGCCCTTGCATTAAGTTTTAATTATGAATAGATGAAATAAAACCAGATAGTGTTCTGCTGAAGAAACAAAGTACACGTGGCATGTTTGAAAATAACATAAGTGGTAAATCAATCTGTGTTAAATAGGTTTTCAAGGCAACAAACAAAGCATTACCTTTTCCTCAGAGACCCTTCTAAAATGCTTACCCTGTAGTAAAAGAACTAAAGCTAGCACGGCCCCTGAGAAGCCCCACCATCACTCTGCTAGGTAATTTACAGTCACTGAATGATGTGGCAGAACTCCCCATGTCTAGTATTCTTAGATAATATTTCATACTAGAGTCCCGGTGCACGAAAATTCATGCACTCGGTGGGGTCCCTCAGCCTGGCCTGTACCCACTTGCAGCCTGGGACCCCTCAGAACTAAGCTGGCAGTTGGACATCATCCCTCTGATAGCCTGGAAGCCCTCGGGTGATGTCTGACTGTGGCTTACGCCCGCCTAAGCCGTAGTCAGACATCCTTAGCACTGCCGAGGAGGTAGGAGAGGCTCCTGCCACTGCCTCTGCGCTCCCAGCCGTCATCCCGGCTTGTGGCTGAGCAGAGCTCCCCCTGTGGGAGCACATTGACCACCAAGGGGCAGCTCCTGCATTGAGCGTTTTCCCCCTGGTGGTCAGTGCATGTCATAGCGACTGGTCATTTCTGGTTGTTCCACCATTAGGGTCAATTTGCTTATTACCCTTTTATTATAGAGGATTTTAGTTCAGTTTATGTAACATGGAATTAAAGATTATTGTATCCCCCTCTTTCTCCTCCATCTTCAAATGTTTCACAAAATAAAAGTTGAATCTTCATGAATCTTTAAAGGAAGAAAACAGTTGTGCTGCACACCCAGCGTAGCAGGCTTTCATTGACTTGCAAGCAGGGAGAGAGTGTTACCTGGTACTCGGAGCACAGTCCTGCTCATCTATGTGGGGCACCAAGCTTTTCACAATCTCACACTGGTCCTCAGGCTACGTCTGGCCAGCATCCATGTTTTGTCTGGCCTGCACATGTTTGGAAACAATGTAATGTAATGTGTAATGTTATGTAATATAATGTAATGTGTAATGTAAAATCCTACCCAGGTGAGTTGACTGCCCTTACATTCCAGAGCTAGGTCACTGTTACATGGAACTAAGCTGCTGCCTCGTTGTGTAGGGCATGCCCTCTCTGTTCCTCACACCTTGTTTTCATCACTCAGCTACGTCACCTGTCAGCCCTTTCAAGGCCTTGCTTTGGCAATTCCATACAATCAGGCTCCAAAGGTTGGACTCTTAACCACTCTACTTTCCTGCCTTTTACACATCTGACAACTTCTGAAGTCAGGAGAAAAAGCCCTTATCTTCTCTGATTTTATCTAGAAAATGGGTCTTACAGCAATGCAATAGTACCTGGAGCTCCAAAATCTCCTTAGTGGAGTCTGCCATCACAAACCAACAGATACAGTTGACTTATTCTAGAACACTTTTCTTGAACTAGTCAGAAAAAAATGGGGGGCTTCCATGAGAATATTAGAAAATTACACAACTCAAAATGGATTTGAAAACTTTTGGGGAACCCAATTGGCCAATACTAGTTTGTAAAGAGCCTACACAAGCCCTGAACTTGATGAGTTTCAGTTCTGATCCATAACAGATTCATGTGTCTAGGAAATTTTTTTCTGATGAATTGTAGCACGTTGATCACTGAGCTCAGCTTTTTAAGGTTCAGACAGAGAAACCACAGTGTTCTGAATATTACATAAGGATGATCAGAAACCAGAGATTTGACCCAAAAGTAATTCAAGATTATCTATTTAATTTGGAATAACCCATCTTTTGATAATTATCTTCATCTCCTTTTGGCTCTGTGACTGAGAGATACTAGGTACTGAACTTCCAACTTGCTTTAATAATTTTATCTAATTCTTATATTTATTATATATAAATCCTAGAGTAGTGCTTCTTTTAAATTGAGCTATTTGAACTAACATCCGATAGAGAATTCTTATACTATCATATCTTCTGAAAGTTGCACATTCAAGCAAACAATATATCACTTGTAAGAAACTATGTTAGAATGTTTTAAAAATACTATTTTATAATAACTAAATCTCTAAGGCATCTGGTAAAAAATTTTAATCCCATCACAATGAATTTGAGTCATCTGAACAAACTCAATGTAAAAATATATTTTTTCCTCCTCTAAGATAAGACTAACCTTTCAAACTCTTGGGGATAAATAAAGCAGCTTGATGTAGTGCAAAGTACTTTGGACTAGAGAGTAAATTACATACCTTAGTCTTGCCTCTGCTCCTGACTATTGTGTGAAAGTGAGTAAACAATTCACCTCTGAGGTCCTCACTGGCCTTATTTTTAAAATAAGGCGTTGAGCAGGATTACATCTTAACTTTCTTTCATTTCTGTTTATTTTAACTAAAAGGGGTTTCAAATATTATGATTTCTTCAGAAAGGGATGCTAATGTTTCAGGTTATGTTTTTTTACAAAAGATAAATTCAGGCTTAATTTAGTGGAGTGAAGAGCATACATAGGCTCTGAAACTAGATGGCCTTGGATTAAATCCAGATCTGCCACTTACTAATCGGGTGATTTGGGCAAAGAGTTGAACCTCTCTGTCAATTTCTGTATGCAAAGTAGGGTTGGTGATAACATCTTCCCCATGAAGGTGAGGCGAGCGTTATATGAAGTAATACATGTAAAGGGCTTAGAATATTGATGGGTTCATCTTTAAGTGTTCAATCAATGTTAGTTCTTATTTTACTGAATTTTCAGGAGTAAATGAAGCCAGATAAAAACAAGTGCTGGAGACCTGTTTCCTGGATGAGTCTCTTACTGCAGATGACCCTCATGACCTGAGGGCACAAGCATATCTAAAATTGAAACAATTTATAAACATCACAGGATCAGTTAGGCCCTTCTTAAATTCCTGCTACCAGATACTCCTAGTTTTTTCCCTCTTTGTAAAATTCTAGACTTGTTTTTACATTTGCCACTGTACAGGCTTACTAATAAACTCAAGAAAAACTCATGAGCATCAAAATGCTAGATGTGTAATAATTAGTTTTATGAACAGAGATGATTTACATTTATCGAGAACATCATTCTTACAATCAGCTTGTCAATGTTTTAAATAACATTAAAAGAATTAATTGGTTCATTATTGATTTACTCTTATTAGAAAATGATGATAGCACCATAAGTAACAAGCTATAAATTTATTTAATCAAGGAAAGTAGAAAAATTTTATATAAATGTTTCTATGAACTGGTAAATTATATGTAAAGACATCAAATAATGTTTCTAGAGTGGAAATAAAAGTTCATTATAATATTAAGGAGAGTTTATCTGAAATAGAATGCTTATTCACTCTTTTTGCTTCACCATCCCAAATGGACTATTTGGAAATTATATGTGAATAAGCACATGAACTATTTTAGCCTCATTCTATGGTATAAATCACAGGAAGTTCACAGTCCTAAGGTCACTTGAAAAAAACTTGGCAAATAAATAAAGACCCAAGCTTAGGGATATTCCAACCCCTTCCCAATTCCTAGACCTTTCTCCTTTTCTACAACTCCTCAAAACCAATTCCTTGAACTGTGTGCCTTGGATTCATATTAGGGATATAGAGATAGTGTCCACTGAAGACTCAAATTCTACCTTTCTTCAAACACCATGGCTGAAGTGAGGCCCAAGTGGTGACGGCTGACAAGGCACTTCTTAGGAGCTAATCATGGGATAACATGGTCTTAGAGTGATCAGATCCACAGATCTTTGTCACAGGCTGAAGTTGTCTCTGGGCAAGGTAATGAGGTCATCATGTTAGGCTAGCTGCATGATAATCTGGATAAAGTTCTAGATTTGGGGCTTTTGGAAATTGTATCCCAGACCACAATATGAGCATAGAACTTTATCCTAAGTAAAATTTAAACATGGGAAAAGAAGGAGAAGAACTAAAAGTCGTCAAAACATCAGACATCAGGCTATGAAGTACAATTTTATTTTATTTTATCCTAATATTGCCTCTAAGAAAACAAAGGCACAACAAGAGAAAAGAGAAAGATATCTTATTTGAGTATCTATTCCCAGTGCACTACACTGTATTTCCTTATCTGTCTTAGCAGTCCTTATCTGCTTCCAAAATTATGTGCTTTTTATATCCAAATTCTACCTACTTGTGTAGATGATGGGAAGTTTTCACTGGGAATCAGACTGGATCTCATCAGAGGAACCTATTGCCTGGGTGACAGTCCCAGATGAATGCAGAGCACGGGGGGGGGGGGGGGGGGGGGGGTGGCGGGAGGCAGCATTCCTTTTGAGGTTACTTGCCTCAGTGTCATCTTTCTGCATCTCCAGTGCCTAAAAGAGATCCTGATTGAATGCTCAATCTATTCATGGAAAGAATAGATTATTCTTTTTCTCCTATTTTTTACAGGTCTCAGAGGTGCCAAGTTTATCTGCTTTCAAGACCGTCAGTGGCACAGCGAATGCTTTAACTGTGGGAAGTGCTCAGTCTCCTTGGTGGGGGAAGGCTTCCTGACCCAGGACAAGGAAATCTTCTGCCGCAAATGTGGCTCCGGGGTGGAGACTGACATCTAGACGGAGACAGTCCTTCCCTTCCTAACATCCACCTTGCTTTTGTTCTCACTAAATCCAGAACTTGGTTGAAGTCTTGGTTGTATTTCTGACTTGAGTTTTAGAAAATATTAATGTAAACTTCATAGCAGAAGGGTTTTGCACACATTTTGATTGAACTGTATTATAAGAACTCAAAAAAAGCACAGTCTAACGGAAATGAATGTATACTAAATCACAAAGGAACCTCTGCTTGCAAAATACTGCACTCTGCTGTTAGAAATAATAGGAGCATATCTCTTTATTGTAACCAAGTAGAGCACCTATACATAGAAGTCATGGATGTTAGTACTGAAGACAGATGTCGTTCAAAACTGCAGAGTAAAAAGGAAATTAAGAGATCAAATTAAAAGGCATATGTAAGACTAATGTTTGTGCTCCTACCAAACTAGTGATACATATGGTGGTATGAATAATAAAACAGTGATCCGGGAAAACTGATCAGCAATCCGCACATTTAAGAATTCTGTCATTTTATCATTCTTTTATTACACATACTGGCTTTGAAAAACAAAACTGCAATTTGCCCTCATCCACACTGCTTCCACAGCTCATTGGTTCCCATGGTTAATCAATGTCTCTGATACGCTATATAATATAATGGGTTCTCTCTACCTGGGGATAGTCAAAACATATTTTATTAAATGTATTTTCAAAGCCCACATAATTTTTCTAAAGAGTTACATATTTCATGAGAGAAAATGTCTATTCTTTCAAGCTAGCTAACCAGGATAATCATTGTCTCCAAGGCAAACCTTTAAAGTAAATAGATCATTAAATCATCACTTGTGGAAATGAGTTTTAGGGAAGGGACTGAGTGTTGGAACATGACTTTCATCCAGATATCTAAAGGCATAATAGAATGCATAATTAGCTCTGAGCCTCATGCATTTTGACTTCTAAAATTACATAGATGATGAATGGAAAGACATAAAGGCAGGCTTTAAAGAAATCTAATATTAATAACTGAAAAAGAATAATTCACTGCTGGTAATTCAGGACCTGTAACGCCGTAGAGCAGAGCCATGTGGGCTATAGATGAGACCTCCCACTGTTCCTTCTCGCTGCGCCACCCACCTCACCCAGGCCAGCCACACCCCAGAGCTTCAATCTCCGGCATGACCCAGGGGTGCACTCTCACCCCTAAGCAGTCATTCTACAAAGAAGTCTGTTTTTATTGGTCATAAGGGACGTAACGGCCTTAGTGAAAAGTCTAGCTGCCCTGCACAACCCTTTACACATTGTGTGGGACAACTGAAAGCAACCTCTGCTCTCTACAGTCAATTATCAACCTTTTAAGTGCACTTGCGTGGGATAGGGGGAGGTCAGGAGAAGAAACCCACCTAGATGTAACTTTTATGCATCTACTCTCAGGTTATTACATAGCATTAACTTTTCTGATTGAAATCTAATTATATGCTGTGGCTGATTACCATCATTAAACTAGCATCCCAGGAGATTCAATTAAAATTGTTATGGAAACACCAGTTTTGAAATAGTTTAAAGTGCAAGGACATTTAGAGATGCTAACAACTTAGAGATACTAATAAAAGTTCAGGCTGCATAGGCTATTTGAAAGTAATAATTGTCTCCTTTTATATTAACAATGCCAGGATATTTGCTTACTTCTACTTTATAAAATGTAGAAAAACCTATCAATATTTTTCCTGATTTGTTTAAAATTTCACATAACAGGTAAGGAACTAAATATGCCAATTGTTCTAGGATCTGGAAATAATAGTACATTACATATTTAGAAAACCAAGTCATTCTAAGTCTGGAGAGATATACAGCATTGTAACATTGTCTCAGTTAACCAATTACATATAAATATACAAAATGTAATGTTTTCTTGGTTAAACAATTGGTAATATGAAGGCATTTTGCTGTGTGGGTGTATGGGGTTGGTGAGTGCACGTGATCAGGCTTGTATTCTATCCGTACAATTAAAATTCACAGAACCATTGCTGAGGCAGAGATATTATCATCCTCTGGTGTATATACTTATGTATATACACTTCTTCATATAAATAATTCCGTATTTAGAATGTAGTTTAGTCACCAAATATGTATTAGGCATGTCTGTGCACAAAGGTAGAGTTTGAGCGGTTGTGGTTCTGGGATGAGGGGTGGGGAGGTCAGGTTATGGAAATGTGGGAATGTCAGATATAAAAACCCTCCCCTACAGCTTTTAAAGGTGCCACTGTAGACACAACACACATATGCAAAACAACTAAGAAAGAAGGCCTCCTTAGACTGACATGCATACAATGGTAACAGTAAAAACTTTATGCTACCATTGATTTCGGGTTAATAAAGATGGAATTGACTGCCTCAGGAAGCAATGGGCTCCCGGTGATTCAAAGAGTGATATCTGAACAGGCAGGAAGCAGTTAGAAGTAATTCCCTTGCTAAAAACAACCAGATGGTTTGGAAGTAACAGAGAGCTGCTCCAAAGAGCAAGAAGAAGTGAGATTGCTAAAGGAGAAAGGGCAAAAAAAAGGAGAATGTTAACTCTTAGGGCAGAAGGTTTGTATTTGAGCATAACGTGCAGTAGAAAGTTACTAACTATTCTTAAATAGAGGAGAAAGCATCACAACAGTATTTGAGAAAGATCATGCTGCTGATTCTGTGTGGCCTGGAACTGAAGAGGACAAGGTCCAAAGGCTAGGCCTCTTAATCAGCAATATGTGTGGTTAGTGGCAAAAGAAGTGAAAAGATAAAAACAGTAAGTAATGCAGGCCAAGAGCTCTATCAATATAAATGTGTATGCAAGACAACAAATCAAAATATTTTATGTTGTCAAGTTGAGATTAAAGATGACAAAGAAAAACAACGCAGAAAAGAATTTCTGCTTCCATGATAACAGGTAGGGTGCCCATGGGTTCAATTTTCACCCAACCAATGGACATTGGAACAATCCAGGTCCATTGGTTAAAAGAAGTGTGACAATTCTACCATCATCAATTCAAAACTTACATAGTCACTATAACTGTAAAAAAAAACCTCAAACTCTGTTGTGCATTGGAGATACTGATCACAATGGCCTTGGTTAAAAACCATCACAAAATTTAGTACCACAAATGAAAAATCAACCCAAAGATATGTCTGATGTTAGTGACACCATTTTTTAATTTAAGGAAAAAATAGTTATTAGTCTAACTGGCATAGTAATAATACTTAATATTTTAAATAAGAAAATGATTGTTACAGTATGTTTTAGATATATTGAGCACTAAATTATTCTCAAATATATTTATCAGTAGATGTTTGTTATTTGCAATAATACAGTTTTTACATTGTTTCTTCAATGAAGGAGTCAGAAAATCAATAGAAATTATACTTGCTAAGATATTACTTTTATCCTGAACCTTTTCCACTGGAAGCATCAGACCTTTGGATCATGATTCTACCAAAAACATTTCAAGAGTACCCGGGGATAAGTGTAAAGAAACATTGGAGGAACTTGAGATCCTCTTTCCAGGGAGAGATAAAGGAGATCTATCAATACTTGGGGAAAATGTCATAAGGTAAATTTACCTTACAACTTCTCCAAAGTCAATGTATGTACTGTATTATCCCAACACAATAAAGTACAAGGATACCAGGAGTCTTCATTTGAACCATCCAATTCAAGAGAAATTAAGAAATCAGTCCATCCACTCAGTCACCCATGTGGCTTCTTAGATGTTCCTAAAAATGCATCATCCCAAGAGAATTAGAGAAGTTCTTTTTCAGAATTATGAACAATCTAAACTTTCCCAGATGACTAAGCTTTAGGACCAGATATCCTGTTAAAAAATGGGGTTGGGAAAAATATTTCTCAAATGGGGAAATAAAAAGGAGGAGAAAGAAACAAAAGAGATTCATGTTCAATTTTGAGTCTATAAAAGAAATAACAGGATTTATGTGTCTTTGGAATGACTGGATTATATATCTCTGTGGTTGTGAAAGGGAACAGCTCACTGTGATAGAATTATGATCCATGTCACAGGGAGCAGAGAGTATTTGGGTCAAATATTTTCCCACGAATGGTAATAAACTTATGAAGTAGATGTCCATAAAGGGTTCTCTGAATGAGAGACATTAATGAGCTCAACAGACATCCATTCAATGACTCAAGCAGTGACATTAAATGCTATTCCCACCATACGCAAAAACAAAAATTCAGCTTTGATATTTATGGAAGTCCACACACTGAATCCAAAGGCTTATTCTTTCTTTATACAAATGATAGCCTATCCCTGATTTATCTCTGTAGCATCATTTATGAAGCTGTCTATCTAAAATTTCCAACCCAAGCTTTCAAACAGGAAATGATTGAGGAAGGATGAACAAGGAAAAAATGGAAGAAAAAAAGAGTGGTGATGAGCCCTGGGTGGGTAGCTCAGTTCGTTAGACAACAAATCTCTCTCTCTCTCTCTTCTCTCTCTCTCTCTCTCTCTCTCTCTCTCTCTCTCTCTCTCTCATAAATTTTCTGAAAATTAAAAGAGTGGTGACAACAAAAATTGACATTGCACAAATTGTTGTTTTTTTAAAAAATTTTTCCTTATATTTTTTTTCAAAACTACAGAGTTTTTCAAAGGAAGCAAAATAAATGAACAAAAAAAATTTGATAGAATTCTGGATTTAAGAACTATACCTTGGTATCTGTTACCTCCCCTCAAGGGAAATTACTTTTTCAGCCACCAATGGATATGTAGTCACCGAAGTCAATAATCTTCAACTTCTTATGCTGCTGTGAGGTATTTTGCTATTGTTGACTTTCCCTTGTTCCTTCAAAATTTGACTATAGTAATAATTTTACTCTGGATACATATATCAAATTATCATGTTGTACACCTTAAATATACACAATTTTCATTTAAAAAAAATTTTTAAATTAAAAATAGCAAAATGCTCATAGGCAATTGCCATCAGGTGGTAGAGCAATCTTAAAAAACAGATCCTCTCCAATAATTATGTTCCATATTTTCCTTACATTTATAAAAAAAATTATGTTCAACATATATGTCTCATTATTTTCATACACTACTGGGTAGAGAAAAGTATTTCTGAAAGGCAATATGAGAGCCTTAAATTTTTTTCCTACACTTTGACCAAGAAAATTCAATTTCTAGGAATTTATACTGGGAAAATCATTGATAAGCGATACAACTTATTTCAGTTCTGGAATGTTTATTGATGTATTGTGTATGTGTTTAAAGCCCCAAACAAGAAACCAACTTAAAGATCCAAAATAAAAATGAATTCATTCTGGTACCTATTTACAATGGAATACTTTAAAAGCAGCCATTAAATTTTTTTGGCCCTACTCGGTTTTACTCAGTGGCTTGCCAACTAAAAGGTGCCTGGTTTGATTCCAGTCAAGGGCACATGTTCAGGTTGCAGGTTCCATCCCCAGTGTGGGGTGTGCACGAGGCAACCAATCAATGATTCTCTCTCATTATTGATGCTTCTATCTCTATCTTCCTCTCTCCTCTTCTCTGAAATTAATAAAAAAATATATTTTAAAAAAATTTTAGGACTACTTAGTAACATGAAAAAATGTAAATGATATAAGGTTAAG